ATCTCCTCCGGCTGATGCCAGCATCCAGCTTCCGTGTTCTGGTCCCTGCGAGCGTCGGGACGTACGGGACGTACAAGGGCCAGAACCGGCAGCAAATTTAAACATTTTTAGAAACTGTTATTTTCTAATAAACGAATTTGACATAGTAAAACATTACTGTATCAAAGCATTTCACATACATTTTGTCCCTAGTGCTTTGTCCTGTGCCCTGCCTGCATTTTTACTGTTCTTTCTGCCTGGAAACTTAGAAAAGTCCATGGTGTCCAAAAAGCGTCCCTTTAGGTCAAAAGCGGTTTTAGATCAGCTAGAGAACAGCGATAGTAAATTAGAATCACTTGCAGAATTGAGTGATAATGATTTGTGGGGAAATTCGTCATCAGACACTGAAAACGATTTTGCGAATTTGCTCAGCGATGTGCGAATTTGGCGCTATATTTCAAATTTCAGTGTTTTTGGTTTGATTACATTATTGAATTAAATTGATTATTATATTATTATTATTTTTATGATTATTTATTAAATTATAATTTATGATTTTGTGTTTCAAGTTTTACCATATCTGGAATGTTTACTAGACTATTGTTCAGACAGATTTCAGTGAGTTATTCCTAAAAATTACAGGCCTACAATAAAGAAAATACATATTTCCATGCAAAAAAATGTACCGCTTTGAGCACAGAAATACTGACATAATCAGACCGCTAGGGAGGTTAATTTCTTTATTATTATTATTATTATTATTACTATGATTTATTTTTTTAAAGCAGAACTAAACCCTCCTATCCTTTTCAGCCAAGAAAGCTGCCATCTTAGCTTCTGTTTGATTTGCAACTGCCATGGTACTGCACATGTGATCAGTTATGACACCAGCCATTTGACAGTTTGGTTGAGAGCACAAGCAAATGTGATAGTTAGCATTACCTGCATGCTGGGAATTTAACAGTTTTTTTAAACTGGTAAATCAATGGGTTTAGTTCCACTCTAAAGCAAAAATTTCACTCTGAGTGTCTATCTGTAGAACTGTCATTTCCCATATCATGAGCTTGGTAAGAAATACTCAAAAGAACAATCATAAAACAAAAAATTCAGATTATTTGAAAGAAAGCTAACTGTTAACTGACAGCTTTTCCCTTCTCTAAGGTGCAGTTCATACTAGCTATGAAAAAAAGGCGGGTGTTTGAGGGGCATTGCTGCGTTGCAGCAAAATTGACATGTCAAGTCAGGAGGAGTTGAAGCCTTTCAACGCCTCCCATTCGAGTCTATGGCCGCTCCTCAAACACCTGGCAGGCGTTTGCGAGGTGTTTGTGGAGTGATAATACCATTAACTTCATTATAGGCATTTGTAGTGCGGGTTTATTGCTTTCAAAACGCCTCAAAACCACGCATAGGGCGTTTGGGGAGCATTTGGAGCTTGTCTAACGCCTGTAAAATACTATAGGGGCGTTTGGGAAGAAGTCAAGTGTGAACAAACCCTAAGGCCAGGAAACAGGTTTTCATATCAGCCCTGAGTTCAGGCAGGGGACAGGTTAGTCTTTATTAGGGACCTATAGCCTGACTTTGAACTGACGTTTCTGTTTGGACAAGAACACAATACAAATAACAGCTATTGAGCTCACAGAAATAACTACTATGATTGACACGTTTAATAGTTCCTTGGGAACAAAAACTAAGGCAATTCCCGACATCAGACAGCAAAAGGGGAGTAGGCAGGCACAATGAGAAAACTGCTGAAAATTCTTGTTAATCACCGTGTAGGATTAAACTGGGACCTGCCATGAAAAAGTATCAGTGTTGTCTTTAACCACTTGCCCTCCTGAGGATTTACCCCCTTCATGACCAGGCCATTTTTTTGAGTTACGGTGCTGCATTACTTTAACTGACAATTGTGTGGTCACGCAACGCTGCACCCAAATTTATGTCCTTGATTTCCCACGAATTGATCTTCCTTTCGGTGGTATTTGATCGCCTCAGCATTTTTTATTTTTTTGCGCTATAAGCAAAAAGAGAGCAACAATTTTGAGAAAAAAACGATATTTTGGACTTTTTGCTATAAAACATGTCCAGAAAAAAAATTAAAAAAACTAATTTTGTCATAAATTTACGCCAAAATGTTTTCTGCTACATGTCTTTGCTAAAAAAAATCCCAATACATGTAAATTAATTGGTTTACATGAAAGTTATAGATAGCGTTTACAAACGTCGGTATAGATAATAGGATTTTTTTTTCTACTAGTAATAATGGCGATCAGCGACTTTTAGCAGGACTGTGGGACAGCGGCAGACATTCTGACACGGGGTGGGGGGGACTTACTTGGTGTCACTAACACTCAGTGACACCAATACAGTGATCAGTGCTAAAAAAAAAGGAAGGGGTTAATGTGAGGGGCGATCAAAGGGTTAACTGTGTGCTGGGAGTGTTTTACTAGGGGGCAGGGGGTGTGTTCTTCACTGTAAGCACACTGATTGGGATGGCTGTACTGTGTACAGCCATCCCGAGCAGTGTGCTTGAGTTGACAGGGAGGAAGATTGTTTGTAAACAAAACAATCTTCCTCACTGTCAGAGATGCTCAGTAATCACCGGGCACCGGCGGGTAATTACTGGCTGGGACCCAGTGATTGACATCCACGGCTATGAATGGCAGTGTGGGTACCAGAAATGCAAAATCACATATATATACGTGATTCTGCACACTGGTGCTGCCCTGTAGCAGTAAATCTGCTATAGAGCGGTCCTTAAACGGTTAAGGACTTGTAGAACTTGTTGCTAGTTACCTGGCTGTCCAACTATATCTATGGTCGGTTTCACTGCTTAGTAATGTTGGGCTTGATGTTCAAGTCTAACGTAAGTTCAACTCAAACATCGGCCGTTCATGTGTTCGGCGAACACACAAATGGTAAGGGCATTCAGTGGGCTGCTCGCCCGCAGCGCCCCACAATGTACTGCGCTCTGACAGTGCTTTGTGATTGGCCAAAGCAGGTGCAAGGCTTAGGCCAATCACAGCGCATGATGACATTACAAGGGGGCAGGGTCACTCGATCGCCAGGTGGCCCCGCATCTTAGATATTTAAGAACTGTGAAGCCAGTGCAGCTGTCAGATGGCAGGGGCCAGCGTCGAGAGTGGAGCGTTTTTTTTTTGGGTTGGCAGTGGCGGCGGGCATCCTGATTGATGTTAGATAGACTTCAGGGGACATTTTTAATTTCTGTTTTTAATAAAGGACTTGTCAAAGACTGTCTTCTGTCATTTTTTACACTTTTTTTGTGAATAAGTAGTGCTACCATGTACCCCATACTCATTCATATGGGGGAAGGCCAGATCTGGGGGCTTCCAGATTCCAATAAGCCCCCCGCCAGCAGACTCCCACAAGCACTGGTCACAGTTGAGGGGAAGAGGTCCTTGTCCACATCAACAGCCCCAAAGCACCCCACTATGTTGAGGGCATGTGGCCTGGTATGGTTCAGGAAGGGACGTTCACTCGCATCCCCCTGCATGCTCAGATAAGGGTCTGGTAAGGATTTGGGGGGACCCCCATGCCATTTTTTTTTACATTTTGGAGTGGGGGTTCCCCTCAAAATCCATACTAGACCCAAAGGCTCATTATAGATGGGGCAGTTCCCACACCATTTTTTTTCTAATTTTTTAATTGCTGGCAATTCTTTTTACATTCAGCTGTCAGCGGGGAACCCCACTGACAGCTGAAACATTAAAGAATGTTTTCACTACTAAAATACCCCAGGACTTAATAATATAACTCATGCGGTATTTCAGTAGGGTTTTTTTTTCAAATGCTGTGCGGTATCTTACCATATACTTGGATGCGTAACATACAGTGAATTGTTTGACCTCGAACCGAACAGGAGGGTGTTCAGCCATTCACTACTGCTTAGTGAGTTGCTAAACCAGAGTGAGTATGCAGTCAGTGACTTTGAAACATGGGTAAGGGGCAACAATTAAACTCTCTACATTTTTCCATTAAATAAATATAGTAATCTATATAAAGAGTTGTAGCCTACTTCAGTGATTTATTTCATCCACAAGGATCACTGAAGTAGGCTGCAACTCTTTGTGTGAATTACTATATATGAAGAGATTGAAGTGGGTGATTCTGCTGTTGCTTGTATCCTGAAAGGTTCAGTTGCTGCAGTTCAAGTTAAACCGGGACTTTTGAGTTTATATACTAAAACGGGTGTCAGCAACTTGTAGATCATGATCTACCAGTAAATGGTGGCCAAGTGACAGGTAGATCATGGTCTGAACTTGCTGGCCTACCATCTCAGAGCATCAGAATGCAATGCAGAGGACTACTTGTAAAGTTGGAGCTGTAAGAGGGAGTAAGAGTAAATGTAGGACCTGCCAAGCATGTACCATTCACGTGAATGAGGCCTCCTCACCACCTGATTTAAACCCATGATTGCCATGCAATGCATGGGATTGTGACACAGTAATGCAGCAATTTAACCACTTGCCTACCAGGCACTTATACCCCCTTCCTTACCAGGCCAATTTTCAGCTTTCAGCGCTGCCGCACTTTGATTGACAATTGCGCGGTCATGCAACATTGTACCCATATGAAATTTTGATCATTTTTTTTTCTCACAAATAGAGCTTTCTTTTGGTGGTATTTAATTGCCACTGGGCACTTTACTTTTTGCGCTATAAATAAAAAAAGTGCAAAAAATTTGAAAAAAAAAATATTTTTTCTTTGTTTCTATTATAAAATTTTTCAAACAGGTATTTTTTCTCCTTCACTGATGTGCGTTGATGAGGCAGGCACTGATGGGCACTGATAGGCGGCACTGATGGGCACTGATAGGCAGCACTAAAGGGCACTGATAGGCAGTACTAATGAGGTGGCACGGATAGGCGGCACTGATAGACAGCACTAATGAGGTGTCACGGATAGGCGGCACTAATATGCAGCACTGATAGGCGGCACTGATAGGTGACACTGATGATGGGTACTGATAGACGGCACTGACTGGCATCACTGCTGGGCACTGACTGGCGGCACTGACTGGCACAACCCCTGGGCACTTACTGGTGGCACTGACTGTAGCACTGCTGGGCTGCACTGGTGGGTGGCACTGGTGGGCAGCACTGGTGGGTGGGCACAGGTGGGTGGGCACAGGTGGGTGGCACTGGTGGGCACAGGTGGGTGGGCACAGGTGGGTGGAACTTCTGGGCACAGGTAGGTGGCACTTCTGGGCACAGGTGTGTGACACTGCAGAGTGGCACAGGTGGGTGCACTGCTGGGCACAGGTGGGTGCACTGCTGGGCACAGGTGGGTGATCTGCTGGGCACAGGTGGGCGGAGCTAGTGGGCGCACTGCTGGGCACAGGTGGGCGGAACTTGCGGGTGGCACTGCTGGGCACCGATCATCAGGGCACTGATCATCAGTGTCCTGTTGATCGGTGCCGATCCCCGCTGTGACAACTGCCGGTTCTCGGCAGTACTTTCCTCACGATCTGACAGTGTGAGGAAAGTGCAGCCGAGAACCGGCACTTGCATTTCCCTGTCATCAGCGTGTCATTGGACACCGCTGATCACGTGGTAAAAGGCCGCTGGGATCGGCCTTTTACCACATCATGTGATCAGCTGTGTCCGTAGGACACAGCAATCACGGAGATCGCCGGGTGTGCGCGCCCCCTGGGGCACGCAGGAGAGCGCATTCTGGGGGGACGTCATATAACGTCCACCCAGAACTGGCCGGCCACAGTGAAGCCGTCATTCGGCTATCTGCGGTCGGCAACTAGTTAAGGTATAATTCAGGTGTGAAGAGGTGACACTGCACCCGGTGATCTTTGACTTCTCTCCCATGTTGTTCAGGTAGATCTCCACCTCTTTAAGGTTACTTACCTCTGTACTAAAAGAACACATTTCAAGGAGTGGAAACTGCATTTATTTTTCAACATACTCCCCTGCTACATTTATACACTTATCCCAGCATTTAATCCCGGGAAAGAAAGATTTGTCTGTACGACTGAACCATCCTAGGACAGCCTGCTTCGTCATCGGTGAAGCAGAGAAAGATTTGTCTCTTGTGCAATTTCAAGACAGGTTATGCATCGATTATCCAGGATCAGGCGTTCAATGTGCTGAATGCTGAATGTGGGCTGGGAACCACCACAGCCAGGATCGTCACTGATGGATGTACGGCCATCTTTGAAACATTTACACCATTCAAATGTTTTACTGCGGCCAAGTGTCACATCACCGTACTGTGCTTGAAGCCTTCTGTAGATATCTGCAGGTTTTATACCGTCGTTCACAAGAAACTTCATCACACACTGTTCCAATGCAAGCACTAACACTCTTGTCCGCCATCTTAATTAACGGTCTCTGGACTGGACCATGACATGTGCACCACCTATCAGTAATAGGACACACTTACCACTTACTACTACTGCATGTAGTACCGCCATGCTAGCATCCCTTTTTATACCTGTAAAATTAAAAGTCTCGTTTTGACTTGAATGCCCCGTGTGTGTGTGTTTATATGTATATATACATATATGTATATATATATATATATATATATATATATACTGTATATTTGTGTGTGTGTTTGTGTGTGTATCACAGGCCTTTCCTCTTCTCCAGCATCAGCAGTTGTTCACAGTCCATCCTCCTAGACAGCCAGCACATGATTCATATAATGGGTGTGTAAATGACGCACTGTCCAGGAGTACTGTTAACCCCCAAGCCAATGCTATTATGGGTTCCCCCAGGGGGTGTATTCATGATGGTCAGGGCTCACGGAATGTGATTTGAGTGTCATTCAACCTAGAATTCAAACGCTGGTCTACTCATTTTTTTCAATTTGAAGTAAAAGGTGGAGTTGAGCTGTAATATTTTCTCATTATTTACTCCATTCTGCCCGGTGAGTAAAAGGTGGAGTTGGTGATTTTCTCATTATTTACTCCATTCTGCCCTCAAGGTGAGTAAAAGGTGGTTGAGCTGTAATATTTTCTCATTCTTATTTACTCCATTCTGCCCTCAGGGTGAGAACTGTGAAGGGTGATATCAATCTACTAATACTGTAAAGTTAAATAGTATTTCCTGTTGCATTTGTGGCAGTCCACAAATATTTTACAGTCAATCCCCATGAAAAAGATTAAATGTTGGCAACAGAAAAATGTCATTGGGTAATTTACTTTGAAAGAGCATAGATCAGTAATACATTAGTTTTTTTTTCTACTAGGTGCATCTGCAAACTCAATGAAAAAAATAGATGAAAAATGTAAGATTTACTAAAACACCTTTACATTATGAATCCAGAGAATATCTTCTCAACCATTCATAAGCTTAAGAAACTTTAATCAATCATAATTTTCCTTGGGAGTTTTAAAAAGGACAATTGAACCTCTCTAATACTGGCCTTTTGCTAATGTTCCATGACACTTTTTCGCATGGCTTCCAAACTTGCCAAGTACGTTGTGCCTCCCACACAGACAGTCCATACTTTACACCAAGATAAACACTTTGCATTCCAGACTGTAGGCCCACCAGAAATAGGGCTGGTCCTTGGTGCACACACACAAAGAGAGAGCACATACCTGCCATTAAACATTGCTGAACTGAATTCAGTCTTAAGTTGTCAACCTCAACATTTCAACATTCTGCTAGATTCCAAGTGCTATTGAAAGGACATGTGGTTTAGGAACGGCTTGATCTTTTGCTTTTAACCAAGCATATCCAGAAATACCAGTCTAAAGGTGAAACATACCTTTTTTAGTATTTCACAACTGTGGTCTATACGGAAAATGATACTATATATATATATTGACAGTGCGAGTGTCGGTCACTATGAAAATGGCCAGGAAAAAGACACAGCGTTTGCATGTCTGCAATACTACAGAGCATAGATTTAGAGTGGAGAAAACCGCTTGTGCAGTTTTCTCTTGATCTGGGTATTGCCAGATGGGGCTGGATGGGACTCTATAATTTGGATTTGAAGGCTACTTTCACACTGAGGAGTTTTTGAAGTGTTTTGTGCCAATTAAGCCCCTGAAAAGCTCAAGAAAAAATTCCCTATGTATGTGAATGTATATCTATGTATGTTTTCACACTGAGGTGTTGCGCTTGTGGTGCGGTGTAAAAACTCCTGCTTGCAGCATCTTTGGGGCATGTTTGGTGAGTTAAAAAAAACACCCCAGAAACACATTGAAATCTCAAAATGCCCCCTGAAAAACGTCTGAAAAGTGTCTTAAAAACACCTCTGGGAAACGTTTTGGAGCAGTTTTTAAGGCACGTGTCCTTTAAAAACGCTCAGAAAGTGCGGTAAAAGTGCTGTAAATTCACCTATGCATTTTTGCTGTGTTTTTGCGGTGGATCAGTGTGAAAGTAGCCTTAGTGGTGGAGATGGAATAGCAATTGCTATTTCTGCAAGCCTGAAGACAGAGCCCTGTCAGGAGAGCTGGAAGCTCCTGGTGGAGACTGCAACCCTTGTGAGGGGGATTCTGGGCCCAAGAACTGAAAAATTCTGGCCAGTTACGAGAGTCTGGGAGACCAAGAGAGGGTCTGGGAGGCTGAGGAAGCTGCAGAGGCCAGTGAGTCCAAAGGGCTGGAGGGAATCCGTGAGTCTCTGGAGGAAGCAAGCTAAGGTACAAGGAAAACTCTGTCAAGAGGTCATATGAGGCCTGAACAGCAAGGAGCTGTCACCTAGGCTGAGAGAGCTTGAAAAGTCAGAGGTTTGGGAGACCAAAGACACAGCAGATCACAAAGTAAATACAGTTGCCATTTATTGTCAGCACTTTCCTCACGCTGTCAGGACACTCCCACTGATCATCAGGGGACTGATTATCAATGCCCTGATTATCAGTGTCGCCCAGCAGTGTCACCCAGCAGTGCCACCCATCAGTGTCCCAGCAGTGTCACCCGGAAGTGCCCAGCAGTGTCGCTCATCAGTGCTGCCCAGCATTGCCACCCATCAGTGCCCAGCAGTAGCACCCATCAGTGCCCAGCAGTGGGGCTCGTTAGTGCTGCCAGTGCCTATCATTGCTGCATATCAGTGCATCATCAGTGCCTCCTCATCAATGCCCACCAATGCCGCCTCATCAGTACCCATCAGTGATACCTATCAATGCTGCCTCATCAGTGCCCATCCGTGCTGCCTATCAGTAGCCATCATTGCTGTCTATCAATGCAGCCTCATCAATGCGCATCAGTGAAGGTGAAAAATTACCTGTGCAAACTTTTATAATAGAAAGAAAGAAAACCTTTTTTTTCAATTTTTTTGCTCTTTTTTTTTTTGTTTATAGTGCAAAAAATAAAACCCCCAGTGGTGAGTAAATACAACCAAAAGAAAGCTCTATTTGTGTGAAAAAAATTCTAAAAATTTAATTTGGGTACAGTGTTACATGAACACGCAATTGTCATTCAAAGTGCGACAGCGCTGAAAGCTGAAAATTGGCATTGGCAGCAAGGGGGTGAAAGTACTCGGTAGACAAGTGGTTAAGGACAGGTATCTAGAGAGTTCTCAGTATTGACATTACTAGGGATCAGTGCTATGGGTTAACATTGCTAGAGAAGAGGAAGAAAGCAGCAGGCAATTATTTTTTAATATAAATTTTCCAGATATCCACTCAGCTATCTTCAGTAGGTCTCCAGTCTTTTTCAGCATCAACTGATCTTTTTGAGAGACTGACCCCTTCCACCGTCACAGCAAGTGCTGAAAGAGGTGGTCTAGTAGCCAGTAAAAAAAGAAAACAATTGTAGCAATATTTGTCTTAATACAGTTTTCCAAAAAAACCCTTTAAACTTCACGGTTTATAGATTCATTTATTTTCTAGAATTTTTGTGATCAGTGATCTCATCCTTATTTCTATGTATGTCAGTAACTGATAAAGCCAAGTTCACATTTGTTTAGGCACGGTATTGATTTCATCTGCCAGGCTGGTATGGCAACCAAATAGGAAAATGAATTCATGAAACATGCAAATCTTCTACTAGACACACACCAGTGTCACATGCAACCCTCAAACTGTGGCTGCTAGTGAATGTCTTGTTTATACAGCAGATTTCTATTTCAATGAAAATTCTACATGGTCCATGAACCACTAAAAGCCCACCTATGTATGACATGTTAAAATAATGCAATATTACTCCAAACATATAGAATACCAGTGCCTAACCTCCCAAACTGTATATGTAGCTCAGTGTACAGGTATGTTAAAACATACGGAAATTTATCTAGTTTCCTTGTTATTCTAGTCTCTTGCAGAATCTTAAAAAATGATCATTCAAAAAAAGACAACGTTACCATGTGAATGTCAGTATACATTAAATATCCTACAGCAGATTGAAAAAT